ATATTGGGCACAACAACCTTAATCAAGAAAAGTTTAGCTTCGAATTGTGGCAGACTAAAAATTTAAACTACATTAAAAAAAACAGCAAAATAAATCATCATTTACCAGCATTTAGTTATCTTTCATTCTTATTTTAGAAGACAGCAGACAGATTCAAAAAAGAAAATTTCAAGTGAGGAACTTGTTGTACCAAATATTTTGTCTATTGCCTATTATATCTTGCATCCAATTTTCAGTATCAATCTAGCATAACACCTGTGGAGCTTCAAAATGATCTAATATTTGAAAAATGTAGGTACACATAAGTCCATACAAATCACTTTGATTAAATGATCTGTTTGAGGTTATATATATATATTATCCAATAGCTGCCACTTCTCTAGCTTAAGTACCACTTCTCTAGCTTAAGTAGCACTACCAGTACCATGTGAAGACGTAGAATACGCAAATCTAAGATTCCACGAATGATATAGTTCTAAGAATTATACGACTTAAAAATGTCCTTAAACATGTATTAAGGAAATATTGACATCTGTAAAAGCTTAGAAGTTGATAGCAGTAAATAGTAAATGTCTTACACTATTGGACCAAACGAACAAAGATAGGTTATTTGTTTTCTTCTTCTCATAAACTTGACAAAGCTAGACCTTAAGTTCTACTAAAGATATAGACGGAACAACAAATTGGTGCTATAAGGAAAATATAAAGCGAAGAATAAAAAAAGGCTAGATTAATAGAAAAACCTTACAAAACCGTGGAGAGAACATTTGTAGATTTAAAAACATTTTCAATAGGGATATTTCAATGGATATCTCAATATTAAAATATAGAAAGAAAAAGAGAGAAAAATAAGATAAAGTTTTCATTTAAAATACTTATGGGAGAGAAGTAAGAACCTCTCATAGCATGTGCCTTTTATTTATTGGTTCAAAATTTTCATTTAAATTAAAATCTAATTCTAATATATAAATATATTAAAATAATAATATTTTTTTATTTGAGAACTCCAAAGGGTATTTCACCATCAAAAATGCTTTAAGAGCATCAGTAATGAAAAAATTTTGGTGTGATTCTTAAATAAAAAAGAAAAGAAAAAAAATGATGTGGCATCAACTTTTTTAAGAATCGGTTTTTTAAATTTTATCTTTGATTTAATGATAAAATATGTTTAAGAACCTCAATATGGGGTTGACCATTACTGATGCTCTAAGAGCACTTCTAACGGTGAAACTCTTAATTAGAGTATCTGATTAATATTTTATTAATAAAATCTGATGATATAATTAAAATTTTATATTTTAAAAATCTGAACCAATTATATGATAGTATTTTTGTTAGAAGCGTCTCTAAAATCTCTTGAAAGAGAATAGCTTCTCATGTCTTTCTCTTCCTTTTTATTACTTTTTTATTTTTTATGGTTAAGAGATTCATGTTAGAACCTTCGTTAGAGGTGACCTAAGAGTATCTCCATTAGTGACTCTTAAGAGTTTCTTAAAGTAAAAAATAAAAAAAAATAAATGATTAATATGTAGAAAATGTAAGAGTCGATTGCTAATTAACAACTTTCAGAATTGTTAAGAATTGATAATGTGTCAATTCCTGGTTCGATGGGCTATTTTTAACAAAAAACAACAAAAAAAAAGGTTTCTTTCTCTCTACTCTCTCTATGTACGACGATATAACTATTAAGGTCAGAAATCTAATTGATACCCTTTCTATTTCGATTTTGGTATCTATTAGTTAATGAGTTTGATGAAACAAAATGGTACTTTGTTTATTTCTATCATCGAGATAAAGAGAAACCGTTCAAATTGCTTCAACATAGGAATGCAGTTCAGCTTTGTCTAAAAACACACAAATCTTTCATTTTTTTGCAAAGTTCTTTACGGTAACTTTTCTTTCACTTCTTTTTTTTTTGCATATGATAATTTCTAAAATATAATTTTTTATTTTTAAGAACCCTTAATAGATTCTTACCAATGGAAGAGAAAAAAATATAAAATTTTCTAACAAAATTCTTAAAATGAGATGATGAAAAATTTATATTAAAATTTTTTTAAGAATCCCAGTTGGGATTTACCAATGGATATGGTCTAAGACTCTACAATTCAAACTGTTTCCTAAACACTCCTCGTGGATAATCTATATATGGTGCAAACTGTTACTTAGACTTAAACATCACCCTTGGCAAAAAGAAAGAAGATGATAAGTTAAAGTAGCAGCTTCAACTTGAACGTGTGCTCTGACTGTCAGAGAAAAGAAAGAGTTTGGTTAAAACTTAGAAAGGCATTCTTATTTTTAATAAAAGGTTCAATGATACAATAAAACTAACTTCTGGGGTCTTTGTGAAGTTCATGGCATTCTTAGTAGGAATGTATATCTCACCCAAATATTTTCTGTAAAATAATTTTCAGGTGCAAGACAACTTCTGGCGTCTTGGTGAAGTTCATGGCATTCTCCTCTTCACCAGCTGGAAACGGAAGTGAAACTCTAAGAGATGTTATTAGACTATGAATCAATCTGGCATCTTTGTATATGCATCTTATAGAGAACCAAGAAAAGGAATTTTTTAGCTTAAATGAAGAGAGTTGAATTTAATTTATTGAGTGGTGTACGCTGGGATTTGAAAGAAAAATGACGCATAGAACTAATCACCGCCAGTGCCGTCGTTGCATTTGATTATCTCTTCTGACTCATGGTCGTTTGATTTATGTGTTTGAATTTCCCTTTTCGTTTTTTAGATCTCGTAAATTATGCTTTGTTTTTTGATTTTGTTATTCAAAAGTTAGAATTAAAGTGCAATGGGAGAAACAGTACGAAAACGTGGAGAAGATGAAACTATTAATACATGTCGGGTGAAGAATTAGTACTTGACTTGTGTGATTTATGCCACATAGCATCTTTTTAGGTAATTTTTGGAGTGTTGATTAAAAATTCATTTCTTTATATCTAATAGAAAAATTTGATTTGCCACTATCTAATTTAATCAAAAGGTCATGATTTTATCTTTATAGATGTACACATAGGTAACTGATATTGTGGATATAAAAGGAGATTTGCAATTATATTTTAAAAAAATTCAAACACTGTACTTGGGATATTTACGTTTCAGAGATTATGTTATATAAAAAGGTGGCATAATTAAAAAAACAAGATTTTCTGTTTAGTTTGAAATAGTATATTAGCGGGTTGTTGCTGATATTGAAAGTACTAACTACTAATATACAAATTGATTCTTTTTCCCTGCACACAAGAAAAAAAAAAGTGTATCCCCAAAAAAAATGGAGAACAAAAGACTCGTATTTGTGTTGATGATGATAATGACGATTGGAAACCTTATGGTTCAGTCAGAAGCTGAAAACGTCAGTTTTGTAGCATGTCTCACAAATTGTGTAAAACAGTGTCTTACATACATAACTAATAAATATGCATGTCCCGGGAAATGTATTGAAGAGTGTAGAAAACAATCTTTTGAAATAAAACCGAACGAAATCGACCAAATTGATCATTTCTGCGAAGTTGGCTGTGTTACTGCTCGTTTTATTTCTGTTGGAGAACAGAGTAAGTTTTTGGCAACAATTGTAACATTTTAATTTTCATATAAAATTATATTCTTATTGTAGTTCATACTAAGCTACTTTTACTATGTTTATGTTGTGTATCATATACAAAGTGTGACTCTTTGTTAACATCTATTTAAATCTCTGTGGTTTTTGTTGTGGTGTGTTATGAACAGATATGGAGATAAATGCGGAGAAAACCGCGGTATATCTGAATTCATGTTCGGAAATATGCAACAAAAAGAATTAAAAATGATAATAACTAGTTTTATACTACAACAACTTTTTTTTGTTAAAATATTAAAGCAATTTAATCGTTTTAATAAAGATAATATGGATTAAGGGTATGTTTAATATACAGTCACATTCAATTCAAATACTGTTTATTACTTGATTCAGTTTCATTTAGAAATTATGTGGTTGATCCGCACATATATGCATAAAAAATTTAATAAAAATTGGTTAATAATAATATATATCATTTATAATAAATAAGTGGTTAGTCTATTTAGTTTGTAAAAAAAACTTTTATAGGTTTGAGAAATTATATATAGCAAAAAAAATATACGTAAAATTTAATATATTTAAAAAAATCTTCTTTTTTATTCATCTTTTACTTTTTATTTATTTTTGCATATTTTATAGTTTTTCATCTCATTCCGTTATATTTCGTCTTATTTCTAATTCATAATTCTCGCTATATAATTAAAATACATTCAAATATAATATATATTTTTTACCTGTAATGGAACAAGATATATGATAACAAAAGTTGGAAATTCTCGTTCTGAAAAATCGGATTCCGCAAATTTTACACAAAAACTTTAACTTAAAAAATATTTTGCTAAAAAATTACTTAAAAATAAGATTTCAAAATATTTCTATCAAAAAATCGATTTCGCAAATTTTCTGCCAAAAATATTAATAAATAACTTTTCCACCAAAAAATTTACATTAAAAATGTGATTACAAAGCTTGCCAGTCAAAATTTTGTTTTCGTGAATTTTCTGCCAAATAAGTGAAACCGTTAATCTTTCGCCAAAAACTTAGTTAAAATATAATTTCAAAAAAATTCGTAAAAATCCGATTTTAGAAATTTTCTGCTAAAACGTGAATTTGAAACTTTCCGAGCAAAACTTATATCTTTAGAAGTAAAAAAAAGCTGTTACATTTATGTTTCTATTCAATTAAAATTTGTTATGTCAATTCCATTTCAATATAAATTAAGTTGTTGTTTTCTTTCATATTTCTGCCATCTATCTTTGGACAAAAATCCCAATACATCAAACAGAATAAGAGTTGTAAGCAACCCAATCACAATGTTTATTATATCTGGTATAACGATTATTACATTCTCGCAAATAGCATCTCTTACAAACAGCATATATTTTCTCGCAAACATAAATTAGATGTCCACATTTGTCTCCATCAAGGATGTAATCACTGAACATTGAACTTCTGTTTGGCGAACTCGACGAACTCGGCGACGGTAGGCATGTAAGGCTTCACCGCTTCATGGGCTCTGAACCTTTCGGCCCACTGCATGAGGCCTGGTGTTGTATCTGGATTCAAAAACTTCACACCTGAAAATGCCTCGATCACAGAGAGTGGGCCCACTATGGCCCCACATGCGATATCGACAAATCCAATGTCTTCTCCTCCGAAGAAGTCGCCGCCTTTGCTGCCCTTCTGAAACGCCTCTTCCAACGCCGCGAGAGACTCCATCAGATTCCCCGCCGCCGCCATCCTCCCTGTGTCATCTTTAGCTCCAGCCACCGCATCGATCGTTTCAAAGCACTGTACCATGTTCAGAACGTATACACATATTCTCAATTTTATTATAAACATATTATTTCAGGTTATAATTGGAGAAAAAACTTTTTTGGGGTTAAATTGGAGAAATAAATTATAAACGAATTCGAAATAATAGAACTTCAAACATTTTGTTGTTGTAAAAAAAAACTTAAACAAAACATTTATAACGAAACAGAGGTATTTTAAAGATGATATCTAAGTAATTTATTACCTTTCCGTCAACGAAGTGAGCCCAGAAACGAGCAAAGGCCCGATCTTTGGGCTCAGAAGGGAGGATCGAAGGCTTGGACGGCCAGGATTCGTCGACGTACTGGACGATGTTGAGAGACTCGCAGATTGAAACGTCTCCATGGATGAGAACAGGGACTTTCTTGTGGATTGGGTTGGATTTAAGAAGAAGATCGCTCTTCGATTTCAGAACATCGGCTTCTTCTATGTACTCGTACTCCACGGACTTGAGGTGTAGAGCGATTCGAGCCCTCAAGGCGAATGGGCTCGACCATGTCCCAAGCAGCTTCACAGTACTGTTCGAACCATTCTGAGCCATCTCGGTTTTTTGTCTTTTCTTGATTTGAGCTGTGTCTTTAGAGATGGAGTGTTCTGTTTTCTTGTTGTTTAACATTTGACGAAAGGATCGTTTGTTTGTTAAATTGATTGTGTTTTGGGGTGAGTATTTATAAATGAACAATTCGATTATATGTTACTTTTTGAGTATATTTTTTTCTTATATTTATTGTTTTACATTTGATTTCTGACTCAAAATTCTGACTTTAAGGTTTAAACCAAAAAAACAAATATTTGTTTTTTGAGAAAAGTAATAAGAAAAGATGGATCGTTGGAATATAAAGTTGTTTCAGTTTGACCGGCACTGGACTACGAAAGTGTATCAGGATTGACTGTTGACTAGTTACGTTTTTTTAATTCTAACACGGTCCTCCTAGGTTTATGACGTGATTCGAATCCTTTCCTACGTTAATCCCATACTCCAGCTTAAATTAATTCTATCACTACAATTTCAAATATATTTTTTTTGTTTCAGGTTCTGAGAGAGGAAAGATCTGTTGTTGATACTATAGAATAAAACTATAATTAAATTTTTGAATCCTAATTTTATGTTTTTAACCATAACAAACGTACCATAATCACTATTCACTGAGTATAGGGGTTAAGAATAAGATAAGTGTTCATCGTTCCATTAAAGTATTTAACAAGTGATTAACCTTTTTTAACACACCAAAAACATTCTTTAGGTCGATTGTATTTCTACAGTTTAATCAATTAAGGTAAAATTTGTAAAAAAGAAGTTCACGTTCTGTTTAAAATTCAGTTTAACCGATCAGCTGGAGAGTACTTGTTCTCTTTATAGTTTATATGATCCATGTTCACTTTTTATTTCACTTTTCTATTTCATTCGATCCATGTCTTTTATTTTTGTTTTGTTACGCTACTAAGAATGATGAATTATTATTTTGCAGTAGTAATTTTTTTTCTTTATAAATCACGCATATTACACACTAAGAAATCTGAAAATCGAATTATGTTACGACAGCAGTATTAAACCATTTCTAAAACAAGTCTACTATAATGTCAAAACTCATACTCTCTTTGTTTCAAAATAAATGTCACTTTGACATTTTTCACACAAAATAACATTCTTTTTCTAATTAAAACAATAAAATTCAAAAATTTAAACTGGATATTTATTTAAAATTATCTGTGATATTAAAACATTGTTTATAACTTTGGAAGTTGTCACAAAACAACTCTTCTTCTTCATATTTATGAACTATCAATCGAAAATTATTTTACTTCTGTTGCCTTTTAAACTAACTTTCTCTTTCATTTACTTTTCTTTGCACAAAACAATTTTTTTTTAATAATATTTCATTTCAAATCTTTATTTTCTATCACATTATGAAGCTTGAAAAAGCTTCTTTTGGAAATGCTTCCAAGCATTTCGAATGCAAATCGTATACTATAAATTATCATGGTCATATATCAATTATCAAATATCATTAGTGTGTATCAAATGTATAAATCGCATACTTATGAATATATAGTGGTCAGCCTAGTTTGACACCAAGATATTATTGAATAATAATAGGACTGATCATAAAATTATTCCATGGTAGGGTCTTAATAGTTAACTTAAGTGTATGTTGTATTGTTGCTGCTATCTTCGCCACCTGCTGCCGAATGAAGATACCCGGCAATAACATGGGCCTCTAATTAATCGCCACTTTATTGTTTGTAGCTATCTAGTCGCCACTTTTGAACAGAAATCCATATATAATTCGATTTGCGATCAATAGAAGACACACAAGAAGAAAAAGAGAATGCAAACAAAAACCAACATTAAGATGCTGACTAGTTTATGTTGATTAGGTTAATACTAATTTGATGATTTCCCTTTTCTTGTAAAACTATATGTTAATTAATGGCATATTTGGAACTTGGAAATCTATCATTGGCTTTGAGAAAACTGCGACTATATATGGTTTTTTTTAATACATAATCGTCATTTTATTATTTTATTATTTTCAAGCATGGAATTATTAATTATTCTTATTTGACTATATGGATATAGGTTCTTGCTTCCAGTCTTTTTAAATATTTAGAAAGAAGATCTATATATATATATGAATTGCACTTTCTCCATTAATTACTTTGAACCCTCCGTAAAATTTAAAATTCCTCGAGATATAAAAAAAAACTGCGACTATATATGGTTTAAGTAATTTAATTGACCGCTCTTCAGAACATGCAGAACAAACATTTGCATGTGGCTCCAAATTTTAGAAGTCTTGTTCAAGTTTTTTTTTTTTTTTTTCTTCTTCGTTTTTTATAAAGCTAATCAAGTCATACGAGAAGGGAATAAATTTGTCTTTTATAATTTTCCAAAAAATAAAAATTTCTGATGATTTTCGTTATTTATTTACTGAAATAAACCGATAGTACGAAACACGAATTGACTTTTTTTATTTTGAATTATCATATAATCAGGCTTTTGGCTTTGTATATTTCATAGCGCCCGATTTTTATTTCTTCGTATAGACCACACCAGACAAGCATGAGTTTGATCCGAGTATTGGTGTGAACTAATTTCTGAATTAAAAACAAGTTCAGGTATTTTTAGTTCATTGACTCGTTGGCCCACACGAAATCACCAATAATATCAACGGTGCTATAAGTGTCTTCACTCTCTATCATGGCTATGTTTTTTCTTCCGATTGATGAAATGTGGCGAAGCTTCCTTGGTCACTTGATTTCACGTGATATTTAGCTTCACTCATAAAATAATTACATTTGCTCATACTATATTGTCGAAACTTGATAAGTTTTAGAGCATAATGAAATCTATTTATACATCTGAAGACAATTTTGATTTTAATTTCCGAAGAAGAACATACACGTTTTTACGTGCCATGCACGATTGATTATCTCTGCATACATAAAACAAAAGTTCAACAAAAATAAAAAAATTTAACAAAAGAACCTTTTGACTATGCTTTCTAGTTAATCAATTTAACATCTTATTTCCTAGATATTGATTATTCGACCGTCGTGTCTATATTTCTTTAAATATTTAATATTATCTCTGGCTCTGGTCTTCATTTAAAGATTGATGTATTAAACTTGAGCCTAGCGAACTCGACCAGCTTCTCGATATCGGGCATGACAGGTTTGACTGCTTCATGAGCATAGAATCTATCTGCCCAATGGAAAAGACCTGGTGTGTTCTCTGAATGTATGAACTTGACACCGGTAAATTTCTCGAGAACCTTGAGAGGACCCAACATCGACCCAAAACCAATATCGATGAATCCAATGTTGTCCCCTCCAAAGAAGCCTCTTCCTTTGCTGCATTCTTGAAACGTTTCTTCCAATAGAGCCATACACTGCTCTAGCTTCCCTATCGCCGCCTTTCTCTCCTCCTCATCTTTTGCTACTGCCACTCCATTGATTGATGTGAAACACTATATAAAAATATCAAGAAAAATAAATTGCTTAATTTCATGATCTATAAAATTTAATTACTAAAAAGTTCTAACAATTGGAAAGATATGCCAGCAATTAAAAGTACAATAGCCACACAAGAAAATTTTGTCAGATTTCCAACTCAAAACTAATAATCAATGTAAAATATTTGTTAACTTTTCAAATGAAAGCTCTTATCATTTCATCTCAAACTTATCTTACAAGTAGTCTAAAATTATAGACAAAATCAAATCAAAGTGGTGTGCCTATTGAATATGCAAGTTGTGCAATCGCATATAATTGTATAAACAATGGTGCTTAGACAAACATGGAACATTTATAAAAAAAAAAAAAGAGATTGCTCATGACTTACGTGTTCATCGATGTAGACGTCCCAAAAGCGAGCGACGGCACGATCAAAGGGATCAGAGGGAAGGATGGGAGGACCAGAGAGCCAAGTTTCATCGACGTACATGACGATGTTGAGAGATTCACGGATTGGTTTATTACCATGGATGAGGATAGGGATCTGTTTGTGGACAGGGTTGTAGTTTAACACGCTCTCCGAGTTCAAAGTATCTTCTTCTTCGAGATACTCATACGGTACGCGCTTTAGGTTAAGTGCGATCCGAGTCCTCAGCACGAAAGGGCTAGGCCATGCTCCTAATAGCCTTACGTACTCGTCATTGTTGGAACCATTCATTTGACCCATTAGACTTTTGGTTAGTTTTTATACCTAAAAAAGGACAAATTATATTTTTGGTTTCTGAAAATACGAGAGAATGATCAAACTCGCAGCTGTGTTCTTTTGTGGGATAGGAATTTAGAAGCTGTGGTTTGATGAGGTTTGGTCTCTGCGTTTGGCGTCTATATATATATGGACGAGCTCATATATATATATTTTTTTTTTATATTCTTAGATTTCGGCACGGGTGTCGGTCAAATAAAGCTTCGGTATCTGCATGTGTCTCATAATTATAAAAGAATACAGAAAATAATTAAGACTCAAAAAGAAATAATAAAAAATGGATATTATTGGGTCGGTAGGAGATTCAAAGAGACAAGAGAGAGTCCAGGAAAGTGTGATGAGTCCGGTTTAGTTGCCTGATCTGTACCGTTGGTAAACTGTAGGACCTACAGTAGTTGCAATTCGATGTATTATAATCTCTCTTTTGTTTTTCTTGCTAATTAGTTGGAAAATTTATGTTATTTCGTCGTCTGCATAGTTGGAAAAATGTGACGTTTAAGGAGGAAAAAAACTAGTTGGAAAATTGTGTTTTCATGTAAGACCTTTCTAAACTTTTAGGGTGTATTGGGTTGCTTCTTTATTTAATTTTTTTTTTTTTTAGTTCGAAGGATATATATATTATTTTGCTTTGTAAGATGCTGTCATCCAAACAAATCCTTATTTTCATGTATTCTCAAAATTAACAAATCTTACCAGTTTTTCTGCCAACAATTCCGTTACGGTACGGTATTGATATCAGATTAGATTGTGATAAACATAAACTAGTATGACCAATCCAATGATAATTAAAATGAGTTACATTTCAAGATATATGAGGTAAGGAAGAATCATCAAACATGTGTAATAGAAATCCTACATCAGAAATGAAACGAGATCAATAGTATTTACTATTATGTAAAAAATATGAGACAGTCCACCAACAATTGCTCACATATTAGTAAAACTTTGTACCTTATTTTCACTCCATTAGGGAATAGAGCTAGAACCAAAAAAATCAATCTGCTTATGGATGTTATGATTTTAACGATCATTTCATTGACTAGAATTCGTTTTTTAAAGATAAATACATGATCATCTACAGAGAGAACCATTCTCTGTGAAGATAAACTAACAATGATGAATCAATCAATCAAATAAACTTTGTTTTCACCGATGATTCATGCAAAATAAACAAAGACAATATAATCATATTCCTACACCTATCTTTTCAATAGAATGGTCATGGAAGAGAGAATTTTTTTTTTTTTTTTTTTTTTTTGTCAAGGGAAGAGATAATTTCTAAAGAGTTAAAAATTTCAGTGGAGAAGCAAAACTCTGCTGTGGAAAATCATCAACGCCATTCCATCGAAAACTCAATGACTGGGTTGTTTTGGCTGTCGTAACTTGACGTAGCATAGATTTAGAATCATTTTCGATTTTTTAAATTTACTATATTTTAGTTTCTAGGCTCTCTTATAAATGTTTGATCCAAATATCTGTTCTGAGATGAATTAATAAAGTTGAGAGCTTAATTCTTCTACATCACTTTTAGGTACTCGTAGAAAACAACGTATTTTTTAGGTTATCATTGTTTCTGATACGCCAGCTAGTATCATCTCACGTTCTTTAGTATTGAATATTTGTCCCCAAAAAAAAAATGTTCGAAAATTCTCAACTTCCATATACCACCATAGATTTTTCGAAAATTCTTTGTAGGTACACAGAGATTTCCAACAAAGAAAGTAGATCATATTTGTTTCAAATCGAACAAACCAATTTTGAAGAACATTACGAAACTTAGCATTTGAGAGCCTTAATCTTTACGTTATTAAGATTCTTTGGAAACAATCTGATGTGAGAGCTAAGCCTATGATATCCGATCGGAGGGCTTTTAAAATTTAAATTTATATGGTACCCATTCTTTTAAAAATTGGGAAGTAGTTGTGAATTTGTATACAAACACACTCACTTGCCCGGTTCGTATTCAGAATAACCACGACTGGGTCAAGACAATATATTTCACGTCTTATTAGAAAAATGTTAGAATCCCATATCAAAACAAAGTTTGAAGAGACTAACACTAATATATACAATTTAAATTAATCCATTCATTACTAATTAGTTTTGCATTAAAAGTTTAAAAAACTTAACAAAACCTTTGACAGCATTAATAATTCACTCATAAATTATACATTTCAGTGATAAATATTGACTACCAAATTAAATGTATCACATGGATATGTCTTCATATTTTTATTCTCGCTGTTATTTTTCAAAACCCATATTGTCTTTGATTTGACTATTTTTGTAAGCACCAAAATGTCAGTCTATGGTTTAACTTATTGTGAAATTAAGTCGAAAGTTTCATGTTTTCCTTTTCAGTGTGTATATCTAGTAGCAGTCAATGGTAAATAATTACACATCTGTAGTGTTCCACGTCTTAATTTGAGTTTGGACCGTAACCTAGGATGCTTTCCGAATTTCATTGGTCACCACGTTCTTTTCCGTAAATTTAAAACATGTACGTCAAGCTTCGTCGAGAAAAGACAACAAGATCTTTAAGGACTTTAACAAAAACAAAAACAAAAAATTTGGAAATAAGATTATCCTCAGATTCAAATCAAAGTTAGCTTGCACAGTTTCCAATATGATTGACCCAAAATATATTTAATGGCTAGAGTCAATTCGTAGACGTGGTTATATTGTTTAACATATAAATGATGATCAAAAGAATGGCAATGAACATTTTTATTTCTTAAAAATTACATTATTTATAGGTAATATTTTGTATACATGTTTTTTTATCATTTTTTTTTAAAAAAAACTGTATAGAGCAAAAAATATTACTTAACAAACTTGAGAAATAATAATAAATTATATTCTTTTATTTTCTGTATTTTTTTCTACTAGTTTCTATTGTTGTTTCAATAGTTACCAGTTAGAGTGTAGTTTGATACGAATGAGATATTTTAACTGAAATCAAATATGCTTTTCGTAAAATATATTTTCTTTTATTTGTTGACTTTGTTGTAAACATAATTTCATTTTCATAGATGGGGTAAAGTCGTACTGTATGTTGTAATTTGGGAATTGGTACGAAATTTACTATAAAATTGGAGTGTAATTATTACTATAGTTTTAGGGAGAAAGATTATTATTATTATAGTTGAGCGGTTGACGGGAATGAATGAGTTTGAAAATTCTTGGTCTATAGTGTACTGCTACTTTTTATTTTCCACAAAGATGGTACTATAGCACTATACTTTTATTTATGGAGAAAAAAAATCACAAACTCGCTCGTTAAGAAAACTCGAAATGATTTCAAAACAAGAACAAAAGGCAGACACATAATTACATAGGTTATACTTATACAACGTAGTTCTTACCGAGTTTCCCAAAACAAAGAACCTATACATCACAAACAAAAAGATTAACTGGTGAACATGGTTTTACTTTTTGGGAAAATGATTTATTTAGGTTGTATATACTTCAAATATACTATAACAAAAAAAAAAAAAAAAAAATCCTTCAATTATGTAAGAGTTAACACTTTAAGAGATTGTGTTTGATATCCCGTTTTAAAGTTCATACTGTTAGTGTATGGGGTTTCAATTGCAGCGTTATAATAGATTGAATGTTAGATTACGCATCAATTTAGATTAAAAACTGTTGGTATAAGTTAAACTTCTCAAAATATTTTTTCATCTTTTGCGTGAAACACACATGATAGATATAGAATCCGCGTTTGGCGAGGTAACATGTTTTAAATTTGGATAAATTGCGTTGCAGAGAAAAAATGAAAGTCAATGATGTAGTGACTCAGAAGGGGTCCTGGTGCGTCAGAGTCTGTCGACCTCTCTTATGTCTTATCCTCGTCGTATGGCCCACAAGGCCCACAACAAAGCCTACAAGGAACTAGAGTGACCACGATGTGAAAAGAAGGTTTGTCTCTGTTTTTAATGAATAGGCCCAAATTACTCAAATTGCCAAATGGCTCACTGGCCCAATTGATGTCTCGTGTCCTTTTACAAAATCAGATAAGACACACGCTATTTTCATTACATACAGAGTGGCGGAAAGCTACACGTTTAGGTGTCAGAAGAACTTTTTTTTTCAACATTGATTATAACTTTTATTGAATATTAAGAGTCATCAATAACTGACTATCATGACTATAAGATTTTTTATAAACTTAATTAACAAAAATTTCCAAAAAATGTTAAAAAATATTTAGAACATATTTTTTTGCCCCCACTTATTAATGGATAAATTTCGGCAATTATGAAATATGTTTTTTCAATTGGCAAACAAAGTCTCTATTGAAGTGGTTTAAAATGTCTAAAGATGATATGACCAATTTTGTCGATAGAAAATGACATAGATCCAGTACTGGGAAGATAAAAGCAAATTCAGATCTTAACCAGATTTAGTTGTAATTTATAATGAAAGAGATTAATTTAAACCCAAACGCAAAATTAAACTAAACACATACATTGTCGAAAGCGGGAGATTGAACTGATAAAGACCCACCGAAAATACCAATGAAAAATGAGAGAAACCAAAAATCGATTAAAAAACTCTTTCAGATTCAAAAAGAGAAGAAAAAATCAACTAAAACAAAAGAAAATAATATAGAAAATTAACAAAATAAAACATCCAATTAAAAAAACCTCTAGCCATCAGTCAAAAACACTCAAAAACTTTTTTTTCTCTCTAGGCCGCTAGGGTTTTTCCTAATACTCTCTTAAGTTGTGAGGTGTAAGAAGAACTAAAAACGTTAAAATTGAATTAAGCTAGAGAACGTTTAACCATATAAAAAACAACTAAGGTGATACCAAAAAGGGGAAATGAAATTAAAAACAGAGATAATTTGAAGTGTTTATATAAATCATGCGGATTATGGCTAAGTCTGTCATTCGAACGTTAAAATCAGATTATGGCCAACTCTGTCACAAACCATCAACTAAAGTTTTGGCGGAGGATTTGTTCTCCCGAATATATCTATCTACAAACATTTTCTCTAATCTTTTCGTCTTCTTACTCTTGATAATTAGATAACTTTTCAGTGATATGTACACAATTATCTAACATTTATTCTTCACAAATCGATCACAAAAACACAAGAATAACAAAACAACATCTGATACCTAAATGGTTTTAATTAACTAAGTCAACGGGTTTGGTCCAAAATAGTTACCATAACCCTGGAAGAACGAAGCACCCGCCCAGAACAATCGGATCAGCAGAATCACCGTAAAAACGGTTCCTCCAAGATTGCATATTACCTGCGAGAAAGAAACAAAAAAGTTAGCAGCAACACGTCCATGAGATTATGACAAATAAACTACATTGTAGAGAGCCTAATTCACAAACAACTCTTATAAACAAGACTTTCCAAGTTACTTATTATAGTGTTGATAATATCAACAGACCAGCATCATTGCTTCCATTTTCGTATTTTCTCTTAATCTTTAAACATCTCGTTACATTTAGAGAAGCTTACATGACAGAAACAACGCTATAACAATTCAGATATTATGTTCTTCACTACCAACAATCTTTCTATAACCAGCTGCCACAAGGGAACCTCAAAACCGATCATACAATACAGAATCTAACCATATACAGTAGACTGATTCCGAGTAAGCAAAATGGTAAAAAAAATACCTCAAGAAATGCTCTTGTTATGGAAAGTGAACCCAATAACAATATCCCATCTACTGCAAATGACACCTGCACAATTATTTTTAGGTTTACAACTCATGAAAACAGAGGACAAAACGAAGCATCTAACAATGTTGAGTTGAGCACAAGATGAAGAAACGTCGATTTCTTTTAGACGAGAGAATATGAGATTTTTTTCCAAAATTGAAGGAATCTGAACGGAGAAGGAGACTCACGAGTCGAGGAGACATGGCGGCTGGCAAAATCCGGCGTGCAGCCTTTTTAGCTCGCTTCGAGACCTTCTTGAACATACTTCTTAAGAATCTGATCAGAAGATCGACGCTGCTTTCCCTCTCCTCTTCTTCTTCTTCGTCGAAGTCATCGTCATCGTACTCGTACTCGTACCCGCCGAAGAATCGTTCGTCCGAATCGTATCGCCTACGCGACTAAGAGTAAACAGATTAATTCAAATTTCGGATTCTCCAATTTAATGAGTAGGACTGTAGGAGGAGATTACAATCAGACGTACCTTAGAGCCACGGTACGAAGCCAACGGGCGTTTCAGACGGCGGATACGACGGCGGAGGAAAACAGAGCCAAAAGGGAAATGAATTGCAGAGACAAATCTGGGTGATGCATTGACGAAATGTGGCGACAACGACGACGACGATGATAAGGTTGTAACTGCAGCCATTAGCAAGGAAGCACTTCAGCGAGTGATTGTAAATAGAAATGGACAATTTTGTTGATAACATAAACTTGGGATATATCTGCAAACATACAAAGTGTTAGGTACCATTTCGTAATTTTACTCTCTTTTTTTGTGTGTCTGACGAAAAATTGCTCGCCGTTTCAAAAAAAGAAATATCTTTCACCAACAGAAGCTTTCTGCCTTTTTTTTTTTTTCCTTCGTAAAACCCTACCGCCGCGACCACCGACACCGAGAGACTTCGCCGCCGTTAAAACCAGAAATTTTCTCCGGAGGGAATTGTATGAGTTGGTGAATGCGCTTTTTCGGAGCTCAGATTCTCGAGGAGGTAATTTCTATCTTTCCAATTTAGATAATTCGATGTTTGCTTTAAAGCTTTATTTGTTTATAAAATCGAAAATTGTGGTTTAATCCTTCACATTTTAGGTCTTTTTTAGGGACATTACTGCTTCAGTGCTTCTCTTCAAGTTAAATTCTGTGAAAAGTTGTGTGTTTTCTCAAGAAAAGAATTCAAAAAGTGATTGCTTTTATATTGGTGTCAATGTTTGAATTCGATTAGGTTTTCGGGTTTTAGTGATTGCTTTCTTCTGCTGTGTAGGGGAAAGGATGAAAATCAGTGAGATGGATTTGTCAGATGCAGTGATTGATAAAACAAGGAAATTGAATTCAGCTGTGTGGAACGATTTCGATAGAGTGAAGAAAGGCGAGATATACATTGCGATCTGCAGGCACTGCAAGAGGAGACTCAGCGGATCAAGCACGAGCGGGACTTCGCATTTGAGGAACCATTTGATTAGATGTAGAAGGAGAAGTGCTAGTAACGGTGCTGCTGCTTCGCAGTGTCTCGCTAGGGGGAAGAAGAAAGAAGAAAGATTTGAGGTAATGAATGTCGACGACGATGATGATGATCATCATGATCATGAGCAGAGAAAAGATGGTGAAGAGCTTAGTACAGTGAATGTTAGCTACGAGCATGAGCACGTGAGAGGAAGCCATGATGCGGTCGCGGTTGTAAGCGGCGGTATGGATCAGAGGAGGAGCCGGTTTGATCTAGCCCGGATGATAATCTTGCACGGTTATCCGTTAACCATGGTCGAAGATGTCGGGTTCAGAGCCTTCGTTAGGAATCTGCAGCCTCTGTTTGAGCTCGTTGCGTTTGAGAGAGTGGAGTCTGATTGTATGGAGATATACGCCAAGGAGAAGCACAAGATCTTCGAGGACTTGGATAAGTTGCGTGGGAAGATCAGTATCAGCGTCGATGTGTGGAGTGGCTCGGACGATTCTGATGAGTTGTTCTTGTGTTTGGCTGCACATTATGTAGATGAAACGTGGGAGCTGAGAAAGAGAGTTTTAAACTTCTTCGTTGTTGATCCATCTCACACTGATGAAACGCTCGCCGAAGTTGTGATTACATGTTTGATGGAATGGGATATCGACAGGAAGCTGTTTGCTATGTCGTCGAGTCATCATCATTCTCCTCCGTTTGGTGAAAACGTAGCTAACAAGATCAGAGACCGGTTATCGCAGAACAAGTTCCTCTACTGTAATGGTCAACTGTTCGATGTGAGCTGTGGAGTCTACGTGGTTAACCAGATGGCTCAAGATTGTTTGCAAACATGTTGCGAGACGATAAACAAGATCCGAGAAAGCATTAGGTACGTCACGAGCTCGGAGTTTATCCAGGAGACTTTCAAACAATGGAGCGGTAGCGAAAGGGACCTATGTATCGATGACTCAACGCGATGGGACACGACGTGTACCATGCTGGAGATGGCGTTAGAGCAGAAGAACGTGTTCTCACTCATGAAAGAACGCGATCCTGATTCATTGTCGTGTCCATCTGATTTGGAATGGGAGAGGTTAGAAACGATTGTTGGGTTCTTGAAAGTCTTTGTTGAAGTGACGAACGCGTTCACAAGAAGCAACTGCTTAACCGCCAATGTTTACTTCCCGGAGATATGCGACATACACCTCCGGTTAATCGAGTGGAGCAAGAGCCCTGATGATTTCATTAGCTCCTTAGCTGTGAACATGAGGAAGAAATTCGACGAGTTCTGGGATAAAAACAACCTGGTTCTAGCCATTGCCACCATATTAGACCCACGGTTCAAGATGAAGCTGGTCGAATACTACTACCCTCTGTTTTATGACGCTAGTGCTTCAGAGCTCATTGAAGATATCTCTGAGTGCATCAAAGCGTTGTACAACGAGCATTCTGTAAGATCGTTGTTAGCATCATCAGACCAAGCCCTTGAGTGGCAGGAGAATCATCATCATCATCAGCTCAACGGGAAAGAGCTTGACAATAGACTCGTGGAGTTCGACAGGTACATCAAGGACACTACTTCAACACCGGGTCAAGACTCTAAATCGGATCTTGAAAAGTATCTGGAGGAGCCGCTTTTCCCCCGGAATACGGATTTCGACATCTTGAACTGGTGGAAAGTTCACACGCCGAGGTACCCGATTCTCTCTATGATGGCACGTAATGTGTTAGCTGTTCCATTGTCGAATGTATCATCAGAGGAAGACGCCTTTGAGTCTCCTGGAAGGAGACGGGTTAGTGAAACCTGGTGCTCGCTTAGACCGAGTACCGTTCAGGCCTTGATGTGTGCTCAAGATTGGATCCGGAGCGAACTAGGAAGCTCTTGAATCTCTCTCGATTCATCTTACTTTGATCTGAGTTGTTTTTTGAGTTTAGATCTCTCAGCTTCTTGAGCTTGTTTGTTTATTATTTGTACCATCTCTACAACAGTTGTTTTAGTCAGAATCATATTATTCTTAGGCTCTTGCTGTGTTAACAGAAAACATCATTTCTCTGTACAGAGTTTGGCTTCAATGGAGTTTCAGTTACTTTGTAAGCTCTTTATCAGTCAGAAGGGTGACACATTCTTAAATTAAAAATCAATAAAATGACAAGATAATGGAGAGAGAGTTTTAACGAACAGAGAGTGAAATTACAAAAGTAAAAGAAGGTTAACGAGCAGAGAGTGTTGTTGTTGAGTGATGATAATTTTTGTGTATCTGGTAGTACTTACAAAAAATAATCTGGAGTCTTGCGTGTGGTCTCAGGCTCGACTTGACGTGGAGCTGGATCGAACTGAAGGAAGTTCTGGTCCATGTTCTCGTCGATCTCTAAGATCGCAGCCATGTTGCCGCATCGGTAGCAATAGTTTGGGGCACTAAACACAGTCACAACGTTCTTTTCTTGGCACCAATTATAACCTTCCATGACAAGTTGGTGCGCTCTTGAAATCAGCGTGAGTCCGTTGGTGTGGTTGAACTGAGTAGCGATGTCCTGTCCGAAAGTGTAGCCTGCTCCACGTGGAGATATTCCCCAACCGCATCGGTCATCTGGATCAGACCACAAGAGATCACACATTGGTCCTTCATGTGGAACCTAGAGGCGCCGCGCAACAACAACAACAAAGATTTTAGTTTCGTTATGTAACTAGAATGGAGCTTGTGCATTGGATTTTGGAACTCACCTCTTGAATACGATCCAACGATCGAATGTTGTCAAGTGTATCTAAAGAAGGTGATAGTCCTCCATGTAAACAGAAAACCTACATATCAAAGAAACAAAGAAAAGTTTAGTGAAGTCGAAATTGGGTTGTAGTTAGTAAGAGACTGATAAGAGTTGTGAAAAGATCACTTAGTTTTGCTATACCTGACTCTCAATGAGAGCTGTAAGAGGAAGGTAATCAAAAAGGTCAGTGAAGTGCTTCCAGACATTAGCATTTCCATATTTCCTCAAGCATTCATCATAAAATCCATACCTGAAAGGGTTTGATCCAAGAAAAAAGAGCAATCAATACTCACACCTTCAAAACAAGAATTTTGCAATTAGCGTTGCTCTCTGAACAGAGAGTGCTCTGTTTTTTTTTTCTTTCACAGAGGCAGATGAGATTACACAAAAACTTACACTTGAGTAATTTGCCTGCTTTCGTGATTCCCTCTTAGGATCGTAAGTCTATCTCTGTAGCGAACTTTCAGGGCTACCAAAAGCGAGACCGTCTCCACAGAATAGTAACCTCGATCTTCACAAGTTATACGACTATGGTTAATTTTAGTTTGCTAGCTGAGCAACTCAACAAACAAGAGGAGCCACAGAAACTGGCACTAGCCATAGGCTAAAACCAAAGTTTGAGCTTTTCAATGGCAAAGTAAATGCAACGTAGCAAAAGTCTACCAAAATCAACAAATCTTTAAAACTTCTGTATAGACGAACAAACCAATCTACCGTTTATGGCAAACACTGATCCCAAAAGAGTAAAGCTACAATAATCTAACATCATCCCCAAAAAAAGTCAACATAAAAAGGTAGAATCAAAAAGCTAATTTGAGAAAATTTCTCAAATCCAGAGATCTGCAAAAAAGAAAAATGAAATCGAGGGTAGAAACGGACCTACATAATCGCCCATGAAAAGATAATTGGTGTCGGGCGCAGAACCACCGATCCGGAAAAGCTCAATGAGATCGTAAAATTGGCCATGGATGTCGCCGCAGACGGTGACCGGACACTTAACCGGCTGAACATTCCACTCCTCCACCAGAATCGCCCTCGCTTGCTCGCACAGCGTCTTCACCTCCGCCTCAGACAACGGCTTACACTCCATCAGCTGCTCGATCTGACGATCGATGTCTCCGGTCGCCGGCATCTTCTCCTCCCCTCAGACCCCCAAAGAAAACCGATCTACGAAACTGATAACTCGGATTCTCTTGATATTGGATCCGAATGCTCCCTCTTAGTTATTGGATTCAACCTATCTACCATCACTCAAAAGCTTTATTTCTCCATTAATTTGGTCCAAGAGGAAGAAGAAGATAGATCAATAGAGAAAGAGAGAGAGAGAGAGATGCGAGGAAGAAGAAGGAGAAGAGGAGGAGCAAATGCGAATTTCGATTTCGTTGGAACTTTGCATTTGTTTTCTTGTCGCTGATAAATTTGTTACATAATTTTTTTTCTTTATTAAATTTAGTTTCTCCTTTTTTTAAAAAAATCTCGTCGGAATTTTTAAAAAGGCTGATAATTTTTTTCATATCTCCGGCCAGCCGCACCGGGTCAAAGTCCATTGTAGGGGAGTGACACGTGTCTTCCATTTTATGGCGCGGCAAGCAACACTGGGCCATACGTAGGCTCATTATATATGGATTTCTCGAAAGTAAGCCCATTCGGCCTGCTCATGCAGGGTCCAATAAAATGGTAAGGATTACCAAATTTTTGTTTTTAATCAAAATTCTATACTTTTTAAAAATCTAAAATCATGCTATTCTATAATTTTCTTTAAATCTGAAATCATCTTTTTTTCCCCCCGACAAACTGTAGTTAAACTATCTAAACAAATACAACGATGAACCATCATCCCACATAAATAAACGACAACCCCAAAAGTAATTAAATTGATAGATAAATTTTTTTTGGTTAAATTGATAGATAATAAAAATGGGAATTACATAAGACTTCTTACAAACTAAACTAGCAAAAACTGTGGACCAATTATTCTTACACTTTTATTTGTTCATTTGTTGTCTTTGTAATTGAATAATTATGAATAATAATTGTTTTAAGTTTTAACTAAATTATCTAGAGCGAGAGGTGATGTCATATGTAGTTTGAATGCTCCAGCTTTAGACTAGTCTTCAGTTACTTTTGATTCGCGACGACTGGAAGGGACAAAAAAAAAAAAAAAAAAAACAGAGACCAAAAAAAGTTGATTGATTATTATGTCTCTGTTAAGTATGTCTAATGCGTTTGATAATAATTCAAATTAAAGATATTCAAACTCTAACAATTTCGAACTTTAAAAAGATCAAATCAACGCGTTTGAACGAAAATCAGAAATGAATCTGTCGATCTTATGCTTTTTTTTTTGTTTGATCAAAGGCTTGTAGGTCTTATCACTTCAGTTTATATTAGTTTAAGTATAAAGTAATGAGATTTTGCTTTACCGTATGCATGTGTTCAGGAGATATAACTTGTAGACCGTGTTTACTAGATACAAACTAATATTAATTTTCATAGAAGAAGACATTTACATATCAATTCCAAAACTGAATGTGGATGGTTTCAAGTAATATAATAACATTTTTGGAGCCGAACCATAAACTCAAGATTTTACTATATCAAATTTCTATTTATTTACAAATAAGTAATTTAGAATTTTGTTTTTTTATGAGTTTGCAAATAATTTCTTTTCATGAATATTTTCCTCTCATAACTAAACGATAATATACCAATGAAATGCTAAAATGATTGGAGTTTTATGTGTTTATACTTATTTCATAACTGCTCCTCTTTTTTCTTGCGTTGGTGACGTGGTAAGTTAATAAGTTAGGTTTATTATAAATCAAGATTAATTAGTGAGATTAATTTACAAAATGAATGGAAAAGAAATGAGTAAAAAAAGAGTAGTGGTGGAGTTAACCCCACAAAAGAACAAAAGAATAAAAGATGGGAAAAGCATAACACAAAGAAGCATTGTGGTCTCCTTTTTTTAGCAGAACCATTACACACATTCTCCTTTTAAATTTCAGTATTTGAAGTTCATATTATTTTTAAAATGTATATGCCATTCCATTTATAAATTATAAATATCTGATATATCCGATCTTTGAAGACATCTCGTTTATTTTCCTCTTTGCAAGAATATATGCTTTCAGAATACATCAATAATAATGGATTCGACATTTTTAAAAAAGATTGGATAAAACTCTTTTAAAGTACAATTGTTCTTTACACATAAAAAACCATATTTTTTGTTTGGTTGTAAAAAATGTGAAAAAATCATGATGTGTTAATGAAACCAATTTGTGCAAGCGTTTTTTTGTAATCTACGATTTCAAATATAGCGACTATGCAAAGATCACTTAAGATGACATTACTGTGGGAGTTAATTAAGTAAATGACTTTTTTTGCAAGAAAAACACTGAATTGGGGTCATATATTTCTCTAAATAGCATGTTATTTTAAATTGGGTGCTATTGTATAAACTTTTTTAAAAAAACGCACTCATTTTGTATTTTATGCACATAAACAGGTATATAATCATTTACCTAATTAATTTATGTCTATGATCATAGAGTGCAATTACCCGACATTAGCTAAAGGATCTAAACGTAATTTATCGATGGATCACTATAAAAGTACTCCAATATGTGTATTTTTTTCTTATATCATTTGTTTCTAATTATATATCCGTCTAGTTGTTTTCTTTTACCTCCTCTAGCTAGCTCAAGAATTCTTCGCTAGGAAAAAACAAAACTTAAAAAAATAGGAAAGTAGGGTCACAAATATTTTGAGCATATTTAAGGGATTCGATCCCAAATGAAAGGAAAAGAGAATCTAGCAGCATTACAAGACCTATTTGCCAACAAATACTTCTCTCTCTCTCTCTGCTTCAGCCTTTTTTTTTTTTTTTTTTTTTTTGCTAATTCTTCCCCACGCGTTCACCATTCTTATGCTCTTCCCGGTGGTCGCCTTGAATTTCCTGCTCTCCTGTATTGGAACAGAACATATATTTTTGATATTTAAGAATCAATAAATAACTTAATTACTTAATCCAAAAGAAACACATGTTTTAATTGCTACTTTTATGTACCCGATAACAAATATATATATACAACCTTCATCTTTGGTCACTTGAGTAGGCTAAATTACAATTTACGTGGAATCTGCAGGGACATCAACTATTCTTACCTCTGTGGAAGAGTTTTATTTTACTACTTTAAGAAAAAAATAGTTTTATTAAACTAATATGAGAGTGTGTTAATTTTTTTTTATAAAAAAAAAGTTTATATGTCTCTAAATCATAAGGACATGCATGGAATTTATACTAACACTTCGTTTTCGAAATAATCAATTGACATTTTGATTAAGTGGTTTCTCTCTATATATAAGTATAAATAAGAAATGAGGTGAAGAAAAAGGAGAGGAAAAGAGAGTTTTGAAAGGGCTAAAGCTTCCATAAAGGAAAAAAGAAAGTTTTAAAAAGAAGCCATCTATAAATGAGTAATTAAAAACAAGATTGTTAACGTATAGACTGAATAAGGCTAGGAGACAGCCTTTTGCGAGCCCTCTGTGGTATGTCTCGCCGAATCTAAGTTAGTTAAAATAAACAAAGTGTTTATTTGTATAGTAAAACTGTGGTAGAAGTATGTATATATGGTGGCAAAAAAAAGTTTTAATATATATATATATATATAATGTGAATATAGATACATTAACGAATGAATTAGCTTGCCTGATTTCTTGTAATATACTGTATTAATATCTCGATGTTGAAAATCTATATTAACATCGAATTCATCACTAACTATGCCATGTATTTCTAAAAAAGAACAACATACATAAACATGCAAGGATTTATTAACTGAAAATGATAAATGAAACAAGAAATAGACAAAGAACCTGTTGTGTATAGGATCGGGTCCACGAGGCACTTTTCTTTTGCTGGCTACGTAGCTAAGATCGCCGTGTCTTGATCCATCTTCAAGCTCTTGTTGTATTTCCTTAGTGCGCATAATGGAGTTGTTCATCGTCGCAGATGTAGTAAACTCTTTTGTTTTGTTGGCCGCGTTGTTGTTTTGTATTACAAAAGCATCGGTCATGAGAAGAGTGACTAGACCGATCGTAAATAGTGTACGAAACAACAATTGGAGAGGAAAGGAACGGAGATTTCGCATGGTTTCTAGCCTTGCGGGGGTTTAATTTTTTTTTTTTTATCCTATCTTCGTTGGTTGGTTGAAGCAAAGACAGAAGTTAACATCGATCGAAGTAGTAGGGTATTTATTCGGTTTTCTTGAACCGAAACAATGAGAAAACAAAGAAACTGCGAGAACAAAGAAAAGTGAGAGCAAAAGCAAGAGAAAGAGAGAGAGAGACAGTCTTATCACTTTGATGAGTTAGGATGGTTGGTGTTCTTTATAGGTTCGATGGTGTTTATTCTGTTTAATATATGGTTATAACTTTACTTGAAACATTAGGATAGAGAGAGAAAAATAATTTCTGCTATGAATCTTTATATATTTCTGTGCGATATATTTTTAATATTATCTTTAAGCATGAATCCGTATATTTATGTCGTCTCTTTTTGTCCCAAAAATCTAGATATACCATATATATATACCCATGAAATGCAATTCTATGATATATTATACAAAAAAAGAACAAATAAAATGAGAAAAAGAGAGAGAATGATATTTATATAACAGCTGGTCTGAAACGTGACATGGAGGGAATTTATTTACGTAGCCTTTGCTTTATGGTACATGAGAAAGTTCGGATACAAATTTAAATATTTGAGTTTTCTCTTTTCTTTTTGATGCAGTTTTATGTACTAATCACGAAAATTAATATACCCATATGATATTGCACGTGCCAAGGAGTTCCTTCTTTACTCACGTACAATTTCATCCCTTTCGTATACAAAAGGTAAAGCTAAGCACATAACCATGCCATGCATACCCTACTTTATATATTAATTAATCTCACTTAAATATATGGATATTCATTTCAAAAATTGTATGGTAAACCTTTTTCAAAAAAAAAAAAAAATGCATTACCAAGCATGTATATTTATATTCATACATTATATAGTATTTAGTTTATAGCTAGTTCCGTTCAACTTATACAAATATCTCACTAATTCTATTTTTATGTATAGTACTATTTATAACATAATACGATATTTCAAACCAATTGATTGTTGCGTGTTTTCCGGACATAAGACATCAACACAAATAAATATATATATTTGGTTTAAGCACCAACTTAAGCTTCATAATTAGATGTGCAAAATATCGAATAATAGTTTTTTGAGCTGTCGAGAATTTAGCAATATTTTTGTTAAAGGAGAATTTAGCAATATTTTACATTAGCCAAACATATATGCGTTAATCACCTTAACCATTCATGTATCTTAAGATTTATGAATCTCTCTTTTAAGTTTGCTGAAATAAAGATGAGAATGACATGATTGACTAGACTCGTGATTAAAAATTGTTCGTTGGGAATATATTTATATCACTGTCACATAGCAGCCGTAATTTGTCCAATAGTATATATATATTATATATATAGAGCTATAGTTCGTACTTCGTAGAGCATGTGGTACATAATTAATCTCATCGATCAAAATTTATAAACCATTGTACATGAATCCCACTTCAAAACAAATTCACCTTTACTAAAAGAGTAATTGTATATTTGTCCTCAGAATCTTATGCCTTTGTGGTACTTAATAGCTTCTAGCCGAAGTAACAACAAAAAAATGGCACTTACACATTCATGATTTATATATAATATATTATCATAAACCATGCATGGTCCATATAATAGAAAAAAGGCATTTTGTACACTCCATAACTAATGTAGTGACCGCTTCTCTCTATAGGATTCCATATCCCTCGGGTTTTCTCTGTGGACTTCAACATTGTCTAGAAACTTATATCACTTATGTTTTAGGAGGCAATATTTGTAAAATCACTTGGTCTCATATTCTAAATGATGATATAAGCACATACAGTATGTTACATTAAGCGGTCTCTTGCACTAACCTCTTCCTTCGTGACAAATTAAAGCTCAACACAGAGGTTCAAGACAAAGCCATCATACTTAACGGCAGACTTATAAAGTTAAGTGATGACATCTTTTCAAAGGAATTAACGTTCATAATCAAAGATAGAGCAATCGCTAATAAACAATGTCATATATGAAACAAACGAGTCCCAATCATATTAACGACCCTCTAAAGTTGTTCTATACTTTCAAGCATATCTCTGTCTTTTTTCAATTGAATCTGAAAGCTTTACATACCGAAAACTATTGTTTACTCAAAACCGAGAATTGCTTTGTGATCTTCCGTTGGATACTCCAAGCATCGGTACTGTCTGTTTCTTTCTGAAGTATATGGCTGATCCGCTTATCAGCAACAATCCTAACATACACGCCTGTCCATATTTTTGTTCAAATGAAGTTATGTTAGCCCCAAAGGTTGTTTACTCTTTTTGTTTTCCATCAAGAAACAAACTTGTTGAGATCCCAAATCAATGAGGAAATTGAATGTTTTTTTTCTTTCTATTTACCTCAAAACCAAGAACTGATACTCTCTCCTCATTTGCAGATGGAACACAGCTTCTGTAAGTTTTGTAAGACTGAGACTTTCTCTTAGATGCTTTTGAATCATCCAACAGATTCCTTGGTTTCGCTGATTCCACAGCTTCCTCGTCATCGACATTAGATTGACCATCATTTTGTCTTCCTTCTCCGTTTTTCTTTTGTGAACCTTCTTCTCCTTTCACCTCTTTACATTTGAAAGGAATACGATAGCCTGTTTCACTGCAACGATACTTCTCTTTCCTCTACTCGAAAACAATACCATACAAAGAAACATACAGAAACAATGAGGCTTCACTATATCTTTTGAAGAAGATGAATTAGATTCCTACTCCAAATCCATTCACTACACTATTCTCTCTACTACTGTATTCCAAATTTCCACAGCCGATTTCAATGTCTTCTTCATTACAAATTAAGCAAACTCGATTAAATTGCAGAGAGGAAAATTGGGGGAAAAGTTAGAGAACCTTCTCGGAGGAATTGCAGGAAACGCAGGGACCTGAAGAAGAGCATTCGAAGGTAAAGTTACTTCCTTTTGGAGTTTCTTTGAAACCCAGAAGGATTCTACGCCCAACGCTTCTCATCTCTTCATCTCCCTTGTTTCTGTAGAGATAGATAAATGCAGTTTTGATTAGAAAAAAAATCCGGATCGAAAAATTCAAAACGAATCAGATCAATAAGCGAGATCGATCGTGATTTATTGACTATAAGAAGAGTTAAAGTACGAACTGTTCATGTGCTCCAACGAGAAAAGAGGATAAAATTGCAGCAGCGTAGATGAAGAGGATGGAAAGAAAAAGTGAAGAACTCTTAGAAGCCATTTTTCGCTGTTTCTCCTTCTTCTTCGTCGCCGTCGCCGTCTCCCTCTTCGTTGCAAAGCAAAAGCAGAGAAACAAAAGAAAGAAGGATACGAATATTTTCAAAAATGGTCCGATATTACCTACTAATTATAAAGTCACCCTTACACCCTAAGAAAAATACAAAATTCGACCCGATAGTTTTAATTATTCTTATCAAGTCCATTTTAATTAGAATATTCAAGAACAAACAATTCTTCTCATTTCATTTTTTTTTTTTTTGATCAGAATTCTTCTCATTTCATTATTAGACGTTACAGCATTACATTTACAAAAAAATTATAAAACACATTAAAAAAACAAGAGGTGAAACTTCAGTGTTCTTGTTTGTTAAAGATCAGCGGAAACTCATCGTTATCCTCAGAGAAGAAGAAACCATGTTGATCTCCAAAACTTTTTAAAGATTCATAAACTTGGAACATCAATGGTCTCTCTTTAGGTCTCGACACAACACAGCTACACGCTATTCTCAAGAACCTCATCATCTCATCGTCGTACCCTTTACCAATCATGCTTCTATCAATCGCATCTTTGCCTCTACCGTTATTCAAATGCTTACTCACCCAATCCACTAAACTCCCTTTAAACCCGTCTTCTTCACCATCGTTGTCCGAAAACGGCTTCTGTCCTGTAACGATCTCAAGAAGCACAGTCCCAAACGCATACACATCTCCACTCAAAGACGCAACCATAGTGCTCTGATAACACGAGCTGTCGCTAGAGTCACTAACTAGCTTCCCCAAACCGTAATCTATAACACGAGCATCGAAATCTTCGTCGAGAAGAATCGCGTTCGAGCTAATGTACCGATGCATACACGCGGTTTGGTCTCCGTGGTGCAGCCAAGCTAGCCCTCTAGCCGCTCCAACACCGATCCTAACCCGAGTAGGCCAATCCAAACCGGTACGATGATGACGACATTGTTGCAGCTGAGAGTACAATGTACCATTAGCCATGTGCTTGTACACCAACAACCTCTCGTCTTCCACAACGCAGAACCCTAGAAGAGGAACCAAGTTCGGATGCCTGGTTTGACCTAACTTGTTCATCTCTGACCTAAACTGCTTCTCACTAAGGTCATAGCCACAGGTAAGCCTCTTGACCTCGAGAGCAGAGCCATCAGGTAAACCGGCTTTATACGAAACTCCGGTTCTCGACGAAACAACGATATTCTCGGAATCGAAATCGTTCGTAGCTGTGATTAGGTCAGCCAATTTGATCTTCACGATCGGTTTCTGGAACAGAGTTACTTGAACGAGTTTGTGTGATCTCAACAAACCAATCCAATCGCTATCGTCGTTAGATATTCCGGCGCCGTAATCATTCTTCTTCCTCTTACCGTATCTGATAAAGAACCACCAGAACATGGCGAATCCAACACACGTAGACCCTAAAGCCCCAGTTACGCCGGCGATCACAATGATCGTTAGGCTTTTACCGTTGAACGCGCCGCAATTCGGTAACGGTTTCCCGCAAAGCCCGCCGTTTCCGCTAAACCCGTCATCTCCGAAATGGGAGAGACCGGAGGGGATCGAGCCGGAGAGGTCGTTGTCGGAGAGGGAAAGTCGCCGGAGACGGTCTAACCGGGTTAACTCGGAAGGAATCGGACCCGTTAGCTTGTTCTCGTTAAGAGCTAAGCTGTTTAAGAATTTACACTCGACGATCTTAGACGGAATCGAGCCGCCGAGTTTGTTCCCGGAGAGGTCTAAAGAGACGAGATAAGGGAGCCACGAGCAGATTTCGGAAGGAAACGAGCCGGAGAAATCGTTGTCTGAGAGATCCAGCGACTGTAAACTGCGACACAGCTTGAGGGATTCGGGAATCTGACCGGCGAGTTGCATCGACTGGAGCTGCAGGGAGATAATGCGATTCTCCTTCGCGTTCCAGCAAGAAACTCCGGTGAGTTTGCAAATCGACGACGACGAAGAATTGGGGAAAGACCAGCTGCTGAGTCTACCTGAAGGATCGGTGAGTGAGTCCTTCAAGCCTTTGAGACAGAGCACGTCGTCTTCACCATAGCAAGACGACGAAAACAGGATGATGATAAACAAGGTAATTGAGAACGTCGTCGTCTTCATAATGGATGAGTTTCGAGCTCTTTTCTCTAGAGTTTCGTCGAAAAGAGCAGTGCTTTCTTCCTTCTAAGGACGGCCATTGACTGTGTTTTTAACTTTGTGGAAGGCAACAACCATTAAAAAGAGGAAAAGAAACAAATAAAAATTCAAACTTTGGTTTTTTTATTTTATTTTGCTACGCTACTTTAAAACGACGCCGTTGAAAGAAGTTTGAGGTGGGTAAGAAGATCATATTTCAGTTTTTGTGTTCATGTCTCGATCGAAAAGGAAAGGTAGCAAAAGTATGTGTGTAGCAAAGCACTTTCTGCGCAAGAATCAACTTTTTTTTATTTCTTATTTTGTAAAATTGTAAATTATTTTAGAAACTTTTGTATGGGGTAGTAATTATTACTAACAATATCATCATTTCTAATGTTGTACCAACATTCTTCTATTTGATCAGAATATAACACAACGTGTTTTAAACTGTTGATGTAGGACAGTCATCATAACTCATAACTGTTGCCTGTTGAAGATGTAAGATATAATCTAACCTTTTGATAGCACTTTTTCCGAATGTATTGAGTATTTGTCAAAATGTTGTTTAATTTAGTAAGTGCTAAATAGCTTCGAGTGTTTGAGATATCTGAGTGTACTGTAGTTGAATTGTGTTTTGTGTATTTGTGTGGAGGAGTTCTTCAATGAAAAAAAAAAAAAAAACATAATTAACAACTAACAAAAGTAACAAGGGAGTAGAGTAGTGGAATTATATTTTGTGTTTCGTTAATTTACTGATTGGGCCAATACGATGTGCCTTAACTAGGCCCATTTTTGCTGTCTAAAACGGGCATTACGTATTTGTATACCCTTCGCTTTGGGCTGTAAATACTACACAATTTCTGAATTTTGGTTTAAGAAATTTTCTATTTTCATGTATAGTTTTCTAATAACTTGTTCTGACTTAAATTTTAAACCAAATTATGATAAGACATTGTTCAAATCTGTAGTTTTCTAAATGGTTTAACTATCAAATCATTTTTTTTTATCCAAAATACTTCTTTTTAGATATCTATATAATAATATTTTATCAAAAAATAAAATAATAATAATTCAATGAAAACAAAATAACGTCAAACAAAATAATAAAATAAATACGTAACTGTAGTAATAGTATAATATAACTGTGCTCGGTTCATGAATGCGACGTTTAAATCAACACACACATCCCGAAAAATACGGCAAAACTGGAAAAGTCTTACGACATAAAAAAATGGATAGAAAAATGCATATCAGATGCACTTTATTTTAAGCCAATAAACCAAAATGTATAAGCTTTTCAAGGAACAATATTGAAATTTCATAGAACTTATTTTAAGAATCAGAAACCAACACGCAGTTTCTTTGAAGTAGTTCTACACAAACTACAATTCGGTGAAAAGACAAAAAGTCTTGACCAAAACAACACAGAGACTACCTGTTGTTTTACCGCATCATCGTACAACAACAAAAACGACAAGTCGTTTCCTTCTCCCTTCCCCAAAAGGGCAAAAACAAAAACCTGTACACACACTTAAAACTTAGCGGAGTCTGATCAACGTATCTAATTAGCCTAAAGTAATCTTCTCCAATTTCACATTAAATCATCAGATCTTATCTTATAATAATAATCAAACAATTTCTTTTTTATAAAAAAGAAAGCATTTTCTTCTTCATCAAGCGACTCCCATTATACTATCCCCATTATTCGACATCGTTTCGAATGCCAATGAACGCGAGCCACGTGTCTTCTGTTCGTTGGAAGATGAAGACGACGACGAAGACTGCATCGGTAGATTCAGCGACAACGGAAACATATCCGTCGCCGCAGAAGTCTTGCGGCTGAGATTCAGATCAGCCATTTTCCTCGACGGAGGAATCGGAATCGGTATCGGAGGGATTAGTTTCGGAGACGCGTTTCTGGATCCTAGAGTCATCCCCTCTAATGGCGTCTGCGTTAGATTCTTCTCTTCTGCTGAAGTTCCGATGAACTGTTGATAAAATCGTGTTAATTTTTTAACATTACAGATTCCGATTTTAGTACAAGGTTTTTGAGTAATTACCGAATCGGGAGTGATGTCGAAGAGGCTGGATCTACGACGGCGGCGATTCTGGTTTGTACGGCGGAGGAAATACTTCTGAGCATGACTCGCGACCTGAGTCGGTGTACGAGTTTTGACGAAGTTTCTAGAGATTCCTCTCCAATCTCCTTTCCCCACTTTATGCAGCCCCGTGAGGAACAGTCTATGCTCATCCTCTGTCCATGGAGTCCCTAAAATCAAATCCAAAATCACAACAAAAAAAATCAGATAAAAAAATGAAATTAGATGAGATTTTTTTGAGAATCGGAAGAGACGTTTTCATTACAGTCACAAACCTCGCTTGCGCTCGCGATTTCTGCCGGAGGCGTGAACGACGTCGTCCGAGGCGTAACCACCGTCATCGACGGGGTTTGAATCATGGGCGGCGTGATCGAACTGAGATAGATTGTTCATACTGACGCTTTTCCTGAAAGAAGAAGACGACGAAGCTTCTGTGACGCGGACGCCGAAAAGCATGATGCCTTTCTCTCCTCCTCCGTCGTCGCCGGCGGCGGCGGATATTTCCGTTGGACACGTGCGAGAGTTGTGGCCGTTGTTTCCACACTGCGAGCAGCTGCGCGACATCTTTCCCGAGCGATAAGCTGCTCGTAACGTAAAGAGCGCGAGATTCGATCGGAACAAATGAGAGAGAGAGAGAGAGAGGAGAGAGAGAAAACTGCGTTATAAAATGATTCGGCTTTTATTTAAAGCCTTGACCGTTCTGTGTTTTAAGCTCAAAATGACTCTGTCTGTCCGAAACAATCTCAAAATCTCAAATGAATATGTTATCATTTTAATTTACTTTTATACGTAAAATATATAAAAATATTTTCTTTTTGTCCACCTTAATTTTATTTTAAGATCAAATGTCCACACCTTAATTTCTCTTTTTTGTTTGGCCCCCAAAAAAAAAAAAAATTGTCCCTTTTCATTGACTTCATATAATTCTTTTTTTTCAGTGCAACTCATATAACTCTACATTGACTCTATATAATTATATTCATCCAACAATTTTATTTTGGTTTGATTAGTAAATATATAGTAGAGCCTTAAACATTACTACTACTAATCAAGCAAACGGTTGAATATGGCGATTGGATAAAGCGATTGCTAGTATCATTTCTATATCAAGACTTGTCAAACTAGCTTTGACCGGGCTCGATCTAGGTCACAAAACCAACTATAAAAAACCGAAAAACTCTATCTAAACCCCTATAATTGGTCAAGAATGAATGTATAACCGGGTTTTGAACATTGTATCCAAGACATTAATACTCTATTAACTTTTCATAAATTAATTATCTAGTTGGTAAGATGATTCTATTGGCAATAAATCTCACATTCATCGAATAACTTGAACATTAACTGAATACAAAAAGCACATTAATTACTAGTATATATATTTCCCAATCCACACTTCCAAGCTCTTACACGAAGTATCACCATCATCAAGTCGAAGCGTGGCCAGTTTTCGACCGTTTGAAGAAAAAAAGAGCTGTTCATATCATCGTGTACGTATCCATATGGATTTTGTTGTCGTTACGCATATAATTACACGTACAAAATATTTTAGTTTTTGTGGCCAATGGTAAGGTTCGTGGACTTTTGTGACTAGTTAATGAAATGTTAGTGCAAGTTACGAGAAACCGGAGTGGATGGGGTTTTTTTTTTGTCGGCAAGTGTATGAAGTTTCGGAGAAGATTACTCTAATTTTCTCGATAATCTAACAACATTGCATCAAAACAATAAGCATAAAATGAGAAATGCTGGACCGTTCGATGTATCTGTCTTTTGCTGTTTACTAAAATATCGTTTTCTATTTTTAATCCAATATATCGACCGTCCACGGTTGCACTGAGTAGATGATAGATTGAAGAATCTTCGGTTCCAATTAAAATATTAAGCTACGACCATTTACTTTATCTTTAAATATTCATATGCAATTTATATGCTTTCTTGGAATTACTGATTGTACAAGCTACTAATGCGTGTCAAATTTCATTGTTAGTTTTTCCAAGAAGACACAGACACGTTTTCCTCACTTGAGTTGATCTCTAGTCCAAAGATCATTATTATTAATCTGATTATGTAAAATATCCGATGCGTTTACTTTTTGTGTTAAAAACCGAACACCCAAATTTTGCAGTGGGACAACAGATACGTAATTATATAGTTTAAAATTCTTCCAGTTAAATCAAAATAAATAATACTGTAGTTGTTATTTGAATATGATTACATCAGTTCTGAGGCATTTTGATATTATAGTTAATTAAATCATTTTTAAAAAATAATTATACAATTAGGAACATTTAACTTTAATCTCCTTCAAATATGCAATGAACTATGTTGATTACGATGGCCAGTGGTAGGAGTCAGTGGATTTTTATATGTTAATTTATACTCTATACACCTCTTAATGACCGGTGAATATTAGTCTATAACATGCAGAGCGCTACTTTAATCTCCTAATTATAAGTCTATGACATGCAATGCGCTACTTTAGTTACAATGGTTAGTGGAATTCAAACTCGGATATAAGTTAATACTCTACACCTCTATGACCGATTAAATTATCAACAAAAGTTTATCATTTGCTTTAGCCTTTAGTAACAATAAAGATTTTAAATCATCACTTAATAGTTCAAGGCGAAACCAACTGTACTGATTCAACCTCAATTAATAGTTTGTTTATTCTCTGAATTTTTATCAATGAACAGAAACCTGCTTACACCTCAAATTGTTATAACGTTTTATTTAGAAAAATTATACAAATTGTTTCATAGAGATATATGTGCATTTCGTAGACATACCTCCTAGTGGTAATGTAATCCCATCAAAAAATTATAAATAAATAGAAGGAAAACGATGAGCGTCGTATGTGTAGTAGTGTGCGAGGTCATCTTCTACCAAAGTTGTTCTGTGATTGGTTGATAGTGATATATCATGTGAAACCCTCCTATCACATTTAGACAATATGATTTTTTGTGATCAAATAAAAAAGAAAGAGAATCTTATTTGATCATATAACGGAAAAGGATGAGAACTTTTGGTCCGTTGGCTATTTCGAGGAAGCATTACATAACTAGTTGAAAATGCCTATACTTCTGTGGAAATCAATCAATAGTCACCATACAAGAAAATATATATCTTTTCAAAAGTTACCAAAAATCATTTTCACAGTAATAATCTCCTCTGGTTCTAACGTAAAGGTCTGTATGAGCTGCCACTTTCTAACGAGTTATAAAGTTTATAATTAATTTTCTATAACGTAGTTACGTAGATAATGCATTACCATATGATGATAAGAATCAAAAGATATATGAGGTTGCAAAAGGACATTTACGGGTTCTTAATGTTTGCATTTTTATAATCCCATGCCATAAATATGATACATAATCAATTATCATTCACTGCAGTAAAAAAATAAATCAATTATCATTCACTCTTACTAAGTTTTTTATATTCTTGCAAATTATGTTTTTTTCTAGGGTGTTTATGTTAACTTTATCCAGGAGTTCAATCATTTTAACGTACAACACGTAACATTTGGGAATTTCTATAATGCGTTTTTATAGTTTTTTTTATGTGTGTGCAACTCATAGGGATTAGTAAAGATATCAAAGCTCTTGTTGTTTCAGATTCCTATTGCACCGTTTCAAAAAGGAATGGATCCATTGGTTCCTTAAAATGGGCTTTCCCCCACACCTCAATGGAGTAAGAGCAGTGGAAGAAGAGGTAGATGGTTGTCTCTGCTTCACCACAGTGGGGATATCTGATCAATGTAATGATGTTTCTAGCTTGCAGGTTTTCTCCTACTGGCATTGCTATTCTCATTGCTTTCCTAATCAGGTATTTAATGCAGTCTGAAATTTCCATATATGTTAGAAATTGGGAATCTAGTTTCTATATTTACACTACACAAGAACGAATGCATGTTGTGCATCTTTTACCATATGCTAGTAGTGTACTCGAACAAGATCCCAATATAAATATAAAAGTTTTTATTTTTCTGAACGAAATACATAAAATTTGGAACCTTAAAAAAAACTATCTTACCATATTATTATTATATATACATTTAACAAAAATTTAACCAGGAATTACAAATAATTTGAGACGGCCAAATTAAGCCGGTTGAGGTACGTTCAACGTCTTTACTCTTTGAAAGCTCGATCTACAAAATTAAAATATTATGTTCGTATGCATGTTTTTACTACGGTTGAAAAAACCACCAAATCATTTCCCAAAAATTAGCATTAAATTTTGATTTGTTATGAATCGAATCTGAACAGAAGACATCATTCTCACTTCTCAGCAGGGATCTAGTAATATTGGTACGTATGGTGAAAAATGGAGACATAAAAAAAAGGTTCCATAATTTCATTTACTATTATACTTCTTCTTTTGTTTAGTTAAAATCAGATTTTTGGATTTTTCGGCACCAACATTACGTCCAATGAATGTGCAGCTATCGACAAAACAAATCTGCCAATCTATTCAGTAATAAATCACTGAACAAAAATTTCGGCCGAGTTAGCCTGTATCTGAAAAAAATGTATATGCACAAATGAAGTTGATTCTTAAGAATTCTAAATTTATGGCCAGACCCATAAAATTGTACAAAATGTATTGTAATTATATAAAAATCAAACAAATTAAAGTGATGTGGTATAGTGATAGTATAAAAGGGTTGGTTCTTTTGTGTTCTAGGTTTAAATCTTTTTTAGAACAGAGATATATTTTTTAAATTAGAATAACAGAGATATATTTTTAAAATTAGAATATAAAAAGTTAGTTATGGATACTGAATGAGATTATAGGTCTAAAATACGAAATTTTTACAATTTGTTATTTAAAACAAGAAAAAGAGTGGTAGAGGAAACAAAGAAGTGAATGGACGGTGAAGGAGGCATATTCGCTTGCATCCTTTTCTTTGTTGAAAAAGATTTAGTTGTCACTTACTTCCTTCACTCATTCTTGTCATGGCCCATACCCTTAACCAATATTCATTTGTTCCCAACAATAATATTTGATCCCTTTCATCAACATTTCAAAATTGTTGTTTATATGTTTTTGTATGGTTTCAAATTAAAATCCCCATTGAAAAATATATTTTATTGTATTATGTATTAACTTTTTGCCAAAGTTATATATATGGACACAACTTTGGGATTGCTACTTTGTATAACATGCCTATAATAAATAGAAAGTGCTTGTCAAAAAATGATTCTAAATAAAATATAATAATATGCGTTCTGATTTACGAAATCATTATAAAATGATTCTAAATAAAATATAATAATGTTGCGAAAAATATATAACAGTATGGACCCATGTACCACTTTCTTAACCTTTACATTTGTAATCAAATTTGGTTTCTTAACCTTTCTTTCTTTTGCACAAAAAAAAAACCTTTTTTTCTTACTCTTCTCCTTTCACTTATGTCGTCGAACAGTTTTTTTTTTTCCAAATACTTACGCACAATAAACTGAATTAGTAACACAATAGTAACACTATCATAGTCTTTGTGTGATAATAACTGTAGTTAGTGATAAATGCATTAGATACATGACATAAGAGAAAACAAATAATCTACATTAGATGCAAGAACAGGTCTTAATGTTTGGGTTCACCTCTTCACTTGTAAAGCTTAGATCGTCACTATTCATAAATTATGTATATGTTTTAGGTTCGTCTCGTGGGTCCTATTCTCATCGATACCCAGTTTGCTACTCCAAAAAATTCAAAAAACTTATTGAGTGGTCTTA